TCCCTACAGTATGTTCAGCTGGAAATTTTTATTTAGGGAGTGAAGGAAAACAGATATAATTAAGAGAGCGAGTCTGAGAATGGAAATCCCTTCCCATGATTTTCATTCCAAATCAGGGTGAAAAAAGTTGAAATTTTCACAGGAAGGGATTGTCCCCCACGTCACCCCTGTGCTCATGTGTGGATGCTCTCTCTCCCTTCCATATCCCCCCATTGTGGTAGAACAAAAACCGATCTTGGTTTCCGCTGCCTGAGGATGAAAAGCCATAGAGCAGATCCCTGTAGGGTTATCACAGGGCCAGGCAGGTTGGGCAATGTTTCGAAGGAAAGAAACATTACCACCAAAACTCCACAGAGCACTAATTCACCTGCTACTATACCCTCTTAAGGGGTCCAATGTCATTCCCTTGCCTTGGCATGGCCTCTCCATGGGCTGGTGAAAGGGGATGAGAGATGCATGACTTGCTGCTGTGCAACCCATTGGAAGCTCCTTGTTTTCAAGGGGATGTGGACAGTTCGCAGCCCCTGTTCTGCGGTCCCTCTGTTGTACATAGGAAGAGAGGGGACTCCTTATGGTCCTGCTCCTGTTGGAGAGAAGTTCTGTCCCAGAGTAGTTAAACCTCTAAGGCTTCCTCTTTAAAATGTTTGATGCTTATACTCTGAGCAGAAGGAAACCATACTGCAGTTTCCTCAAACAGACCTCTGATGGATTCCTTGTTTGCTTGGGACAACTAGGCATGCACTTGTGTCTGGATGCTGCACAGGATTTCCCCATGGAGAAGGATTGTCCTCAGGAGGAAAGATCTGTCCCACAGTAATTAACCCCCAGGCCTTCCTCTGTAAAATATTTGCTGCCTGAGCTCTGAGCAGCAGGAAGCCTCACAGCACCTTTCTGGGAGAGACACTAAACCCTCAGCTGAGCCCTTGTTTGCTTATAGGATGAAAATGGAAATGGATTATCCGATGAAGACCTACGTGCCGAGGTGGACACATTCATGTTTGAAGGTCATGATACCACAGCCAGCGGGATCTCCTGGCTCCTCTACTGCATGGCCATGCACCCTGAGCACCAGCAGAGATGCAGGGAAGAGATCCAGGAGATCCTGGGAGATCGGGACACAGTTCAGTGGTGAGATCTCGGGTACTTTTTTCCTCTAGTTTCTCCCAACCTTGTCAAGATAATTTCCCGCAAAAGTAGTAATATGCAATTTCCCATAAGGGATGTTGCAGCCAGACTATGGGCTGTGACTGCACTTCCAGGTATTTCTTATTCCACATTAAGACTAACACAAGCCAGAACTGTTCCCTTATCATTTCTTTGATGCTGGAGGAGATACTCTGAACCACCTTTGAGATGAATGCCATTGGTGCTTTGCAAGTTTGATCCAACTGGGGGTTTGGCCAGTGTACATACATTAGCATTGGATGCTATAGCGCTCCACAAGCAAAGACTATCCATGATCAAGAACAGACCCTTTCTGCAGTATTACAAATGCTGAGCGGGGGGCCACTTTGCCAGAAAGTGTTGCTATTGCTTTCTTGCTTCTAATAGTAATTAGATGCCAGCAGGGAGTTATCGGCGTTACCCCTGGAGGGCTTCTGCAGGGATCAATCTAAGGAAGTTTAATGAGCCCATCGATGCTACAGAAGTAAATATAAAATCACCACTTATAAAATTTGCAGGTGGTGACTCTGTCTTCTCCAAATCATCATGCACCTCTTTGCCAGTCATACACTGACCACAATTTCATTAAAACTCAATCCCACACAAACCAATTGCATTTGACTGCATTTGACTGCTCCAATACAACCCAATTGCCACTTTGGAAGACCCGTCTTAATGAAAGCTGTTAGGTGCAATATAGAGGTAATGAGATGAACTTTATGGCCCACAGTTCAGAGATGGTTGGTGCAAGAGCATTTAATGATCCATTTTCTCCTTAAATTCTATGATGATGCAATAAAGCAAAGCAGCTCGAAACGTTTCTATTCTAAACACCTTTTCCCTCTTTTAGCTCATTCCAAAGCAAGGGATTATGCTCCGGGGATGTGGTCTGAGGATGTGGTCCCTTTCTCCAGTAAAATATGTGCATTGCATAAGAAGTGCCTTCACTCAGCCCTTGCCTTGGCTGATACACTGAGACTTCCCTGTCTCTTATCTGCTCTAGCTGTGGGACACGCATTTCACCTTCTGAGTATCCAATATTGCAGGTCACAGCTTAGCCCAAGGATGAATCTCCTTAGCAAACTGGAGCAGTACATTAGCAGCTGCCAGGTGTCCCCACTCTCTGACTTCGGTTCCTTTCAGGGAAGACCTTGGGAAGATGACTTACACCACCATGTGCATCAAGGAGAGCCTTCGTCTTTACCCTCCAGTACTACAAGTCGGCCGAAAACTCAGCACTCCTGTCAAATTTGATGATGGACGGACCTTACCAAAAGGTCTGTGGATGCTGCATGCTCCATGAATTCTAACAAGGCCATTTGAGGCATCATGATAGTGCAATAATACACCGTATCTGTGCTGGTGACGCTCCTATATTGTTTTTGATTTTGTCTTTCACTGAAAATACTTTACCAAGAAAAACCAAAATGGGGTAGAGATGTCCTTCAGTGAGACATTAGCACTATTTTTAACACTAATAGGTAATTATAGAGTTCAAACTAAATACCAACCCCCCACACCACCACCAAGAAACCAAATTCCTGGCAGTGTAATCTAAAGGCTGTTCACAGTCTTCAAAGGTAATGAAAACTTAAAAACTAGGCAGCGGATGCAATTTGGGAATGTACCATACAAAATAACTGCATTGGTAAGAACACGACACCAACTTCTGGAAGGGCCCTTGCAGTCCTTCGGTGTCTGTTGGGGATATAGGTTGTAGCTGTATTGGTCTAAGGCAGGGGTGGGCAATTATTTTGGGTGGAGGGCCGCTTACTCGGTTTTGGCAACCCATCGAGGGCCGCATGACAGGCAGCCAGGGGCAGATAAATATTAATTTTCTAAATTTTTTAGGGGCCTCCACGGACTGGATAGAATGGCCTGGTGGGCCGCATATGGCCTATGGGCCACATTTTGCCCACCCCTGGTCTAAGGACTGGCAGACAAGGTTCTTTGGGTAAATCCAATATCTTTTATTTAACCAGCTAAATAGTTGGAAAAATTCTTATTTGCAAGCTTTTGGGTACAAACACCTTTCTTCCGGCTGAGGAAGCATCTGCTGTATCTTTGGTGTCTATTTGCATTTCCTTAATGGTGAAAAGTGTGACAAGTACTTAGGTAGAAACTGGTCAGTGAGGAATATTCTCCTCTCTTAGTCAGTAGAGGATGAGATATTTTCTTGATGGGCTCGTGTTACAGAGTAATAAGGTCACAGGATTAGAAGGGACCTTAAGGGCTATGTAGTCCAACCCCTGTGTAGATGCATGAATTGCTGTTCTTAAACTTTCCCAGGCCGATGTCCATCTGGATAACCTTTCATAAGGAAGAACTCCACAGCTTCCCGAGGCATCTGTTTCTGTTGTCTTAGAGCTACAACATTTTTCCTGAGGTTTCATCTAAATGTGCTTTTCTATAATTTAAGCCTATTGCCTCACATTCAGCCTTCTGTGGCCAGGGGTAACTTTATCCTCTCTACTTGCTTTATGGCAACCTATCAAATATTCAAAAGCTGCCATCACATCTTCCCTTAATTTCTTCTCACCAAATTTAAACCTAACTAGTTCAACTTTTCTTGGTAACACTCAAACACATAGACAGCTGATGAGAACAGCATTAAAAATGAAATGCATCACCAGTTTAATTTTAATTATACAGGGCTCCCTGTGTCTACATGGACAGTTGAGTCTTTGGCATCCCTCCTCCCCACATTTTATAATGAATTATTTCTTTTTCTTGTTTCAAACAGGCTGTCTGGTCTCACTGACTATTTTTGGTCTTCACAGAAACCCCACAGTCTGGGACAATCCAGAGGTACTTCCCTTTAGATGCTACTTGAGATTAAGAAGCTGTTTTTGGATATAGGGCATCGTTCCTTATGCATCCTTGCTGGATGAATGGTAGATGTAGGTAGGACAAAGCCTACTGGGGGGAGGTGTATTCTTTTTTGGGAAGTATATGGCTGACATCTATTTAATTGCACCAAGAAATAGCCAGTGAACTCTAGATTTCAGAGGACATTTTCAGACTTTTGGGTAGTGAGTGACTCAGACAAAAATAAACTTGGTGTCAACACGATTATTTTAGATATGCAGAGAGAAACAAGTATAGCTATGCAGTGGACCAGCTCCTAAATCCAAAATAATGTTAAATCACCTTATTCTTCCCATAGTTTTTTAGACCATGCTCACCCCTGCTGGTATTTATTGAGGATCATCTTCCTAGGATCATCTTTCTGTTCTTGAAGCTGGAAGCCATATATTCATAGGGGAGGTTATCTATGGAGACAGTCTGAGATGTGAAAAGTGTGATGTTTCCTAAACCATGGGGGCACATTGCTCTATGTCTTTATTTTAAAGACATAAAATAGGCCAGAAATCTGAGAGTCAAGTTTTGCGCTTGTTTCCTAAGCGCACTTCTCGAACTGAGTGTTTTTGTACATTTTTTGCAGGTCTTTGACCCTTCACGGTTCTTGCCAGAAAACTCAGCTAGCCGCCATCCCTACGCTTTCCTGCCTTTCGCAGCTGGGCCCAGGTGGAGTATCTATATCCAAATCTCTCAGCCAGTTTAGTTAAGTCTCTTCTCCAGGCCACAATCAATAACACTGCCATCTTGGGGTCACTGAAAACCATGGATTTTGCCATTCATTTCAAGACACCAGGTTTTGTGTTACCTCTCTCCTGTGATCCCTGTAAGAGTTCCCTAGATGCGTGTGTGTTCCCAAGTATTCAGCTTTTGCATTTAAAACGAGAGAGAGATCTGAACTACTTTTCCAGATCCAAACACTAGAAGCCAGGCCTCTAAGCAAAATTGTAGCTGCTGACCAGGATTGAATTCTGAAAAGTCTTTGAATGCAATGTACATCTTTTTTTAGGTGTCTTTGAGCTGGATTAGCATCTAGCCTTAGTCTTCAGCCCTATAATAGCCCTTGCTCAGTAACCTGGGCAGTTGCTCCTCTGACTCACAGAAATCGTAGAGAAGTCGAGCTAAAAGGGACTTCCATAGGTCATCTAGTCCAGCCCCTGCCTGAGGCAGGATCATCCCTAACCAAAGATCCTACGCAAGCCCATAATCTAGCCTCTTAATAAAACTACCGTCAATGTGACACAACACAAGACATAACTCCATCACCTCCCACAGTTTACTGGGCAGTTGACTGTCCAACTTCTCACCTTATTTGGAATAGGGAAAAAAAATCAAAATGATCAACTTTTTGTGGAACAGAATTTCTGGTTTCCAGCCAACTTCACCACCATTCAGTTGGGCTCAGGTGACCTTCAGTTGCTATAAATATTGTTAACATGTTGCTTTTAACAGATTTTCAGCTTAGCACGATAGGTGCTAACGTCTTGCAAGCTTTTACATCTTCACATGTGAAACCATTTGTCCTCTCTCTGCTCAGGAACTGCATTGGGCAGCAGTTTGCCATGAACGAGATGAAAGTGTCTCTTGCCCTGACTCTGCTCCGCTTTGAACTCTCACCTGATCCAGACAAACCGCCCATCAAAATACCTCAGATCATCCTACGCTCCAAAAATGGGATTTATCTGCACCTGAGGAAACTTTACTGACGTGTACATTAGCTGCCCTGGAGTGTGATACAGAACGGAGGTTGATCTGAGCTGGGCGTGGAAGAAAATTTCTGTTTTTCAGGAAAGTCTTCAATTTTGCTTTTTATTACTATTAATATTCTTCTAAATCAAAATGAAAATGAAGCCTTTTGAAAATATCCTGCAAAACAGAATCTTTAAAGCGACATAATTTGGTCTTTAACATCGCCTATTATGCGAGTTATTTTCTTGACAAAGGGTGCATCTACATGTACAATGAATGTGCAGAAAGCTTACTGCACAGTTAAATACTGCACAGTAAGCTTTCCCTGAGAGCATATCTACACATGCGCCCATGGGGAGCAAATTTGCTCCTTATGGGCGCGTCTACACATGCAAGCACGTGCACTTGCAGCAGCTCAAATAGAAGCGGCACAAATTTGAGCCAGGGCTTTTTGCTTCAGTGAACGTGCTCAGACATGCACTTTGTTGTGGAGCAAATTGTGCCATTGGGGGCAAAATAACCCTGCCTGGCTCCTCCCAGATCTTCAGCCAGGGGGAGCTAGAGCCCAGGGCCAGCACCTGTGCTGTCCCCAGCAGTATAAAAATCTGCCCGAGCAAATAGCTCAGGGCTACTCACTTTCAGGAGCTTCTGGGCCCCAGCCAACTGGTACCTGGGGACACTACCCCTCGTGCCAGCTGGACTGCTGAAGCAGCCCTGTGAGTTCCCGGCCCCCTTTACCCCCTGCAGCAGTCTGGCAGCGGGGGCTGTTCCCTGGCTGTGACCTGCTGCACCCCTGCCAGACCCGGATGGGGACTGCAGAGCCAATAGAGACATCTGGCCCTCTGGGCCAGCTGCCAGTGGGCTGTGGCTGCAGAGTTGGCCTCTATGAGGCTGTACTGCCATTTGTGCCGCCTGCCCGGCCATCTGGGCAGCTATCACCCGGAAGATGTTCCAGGTGTGGTGGCCTGCTTTGAACTGTCAAAACATGTCCTCCTTGCCCCATTTGGCCAGGAGGTCAGCCACAGCCAGCTGGGTCCAAGGTGCCAGCTCTGAGCAGGCAGGGTCCTAGCAGGAATTCTGGTGTTCCCTGTTGGAAAACTGAAAAATCACTGATAAAAAAAAATCCCAAAGTCACTGTGTAAAATACCCCAAAATCCACGTTCTTCCACAAGTAAAACAAAAGACCACTATAAAGAGAGAGAGAGAGTGAGACAGAGACAGCGATCAGTTGGACAATGTTTTATTGATATATCTCTTACCATAATAATAAAGTGAACTCTAAATACATGTTCCATGAATTCATGAATACATAAATACATATTTTGCTGCCCTCCCACAGGGGCTATGACCCCCACACAGGGGTTATGGCCCCCCCAACAGGGGATTCAGCCCCCACACAAGGGCTACAGTCCCCCAACAATAAAAAGCCTCTACTTACTCTAGAAGTAGGGCTGGGAGGGCTCCAGGGCCTCCTGGCAGAGCTCCCCGGGCAGCACATGGCAGTGTGGGGCAGGAAGGCCTAGGCTGGGGCTGTCCCTCTGCCCTGTGCTTTGCAGGTAGGGCCCCAGTGACACAGACAGCAGCTGAACTGCCAGTAAGTGCTGGGGGTGGTTTGTTTGTTTTTGAAACTGAGGGGGGCAGGGATTGGGGGGGTTGT